ACAGCGTCAGATCTCATAGTTCTTGAATATAACGTTTACATTTGCTGCATGGGGTTTCATGTTTAACAGCTGTGAAATGCGCAGTAAACGTATCTCCACAGGCGAAAGTAGGGGAAAGCAATCAGATTTGCGGTATAAGAGTCTCAAATGGCCGCAACAATGGCCCCCTTTTTATGAGAATATGCACCGAGTCTGAGGAATATAGTTACTGTCTGCTATGTCTAATTGGCAGAACAAATCGAATGGGGGGGGGCAATCATTTACCACAGGGGGGGCACACACTGCCGTCCACAACCAACACACAAACACCAACGCAACTTCAATTTCAAAACATGCTGCAAAGTCTCCTGTTTTCACACACACTGCAGGGTATAGTGCTATTTTTTTGCACACCTATGACTTGTGCATACATGCATGGTTGTGTCACGACCACCCAAACAGAAACATATGGACATAGGCCACCGTATAAAAAGTGTGCAAATGTATTTAGTATCCTGTCCATGTGAACATGTCTAATTACTATTAGATCTGGCCCGCCGGTATATTGCACGCACACCTTCACTCAATCCTGAGGGTTTCCTCAGCTCAGAGCCTGAGCCCAAACATTGATGAACTTGCACCCAAGATGAGATGCCAAGTATCTGAACTAGCATCACAGAGCAGCACACTGAGTTTACATGTTTGCTTCTGCACTTTTTCTCTCACGACAACAGGGCATGTTCGGTTTCTTCTTTGAGGGAAATAGTTTTCTTGAAGCTGTTGTTGACCTGTGGGAAAATGTAATCATAAGAAATGACTCTGGAAAAGCTGCAGATAGAGCCATAAGAAATGAATGCACCTGATTATTTAATGTTGTTTTTATAGGCAATCATTTAAGCTTTGTTAGTTCCAGGTTTAATATGTGCAATAAGTTCATTTCAATAAGGTTTGCAATACACATTGAACCAGTCCGGCCCTCGACTAGTACCCTTTCTTAATTTTGGCCCACTGTGTATTTGAGTTTGACACCCCTGCTCTAAGGGGTCTGGGGGCAAGCTCCCCCAGAAATATTGAAGTTAAACGCATCAATCTGGTGCACTAAATACTCATACTAACAGAAATGCAAATTTAGCATAGGTGCTACAAAAATAGATTGCGTACTGTATGACACACACACACACACACACACACACACACACACACACACACACACACACACCGGAGTAACGCAAACATTATGATGCAATTGATACTGAGCATCATTTGTAATACAATACACAGAGTGGGGGTTAACCAATACAGAATGGGATATTTCTCTTTATGTCTCTCTCTTTTGATCTCTCTCTCTCTCACACACACACACACACACACACACACACACACACACACACACACACAAAGAGATATGGATACCCCATCGCTGCAGTCTGAGACTGCTATATCCACATTGAAGACACAGAAAAGAGGAGGTGGAGAAACGATGTAAAGGAAAGAGGGAATGAGAGAAAGAAAGTGTGTTTGTATAAGCGTGTGTGTGTGGTGGGGGGGTGCCGTGGTGGGGGGGAAGGGTTGTGAGGAGTGAAAGCTAGAACAGCTTGCCGCATTGTCAAGGACACATCAAGGAGAGATTGAGAGGGGGAGAAAAAGAGAGGAGTAGAGCCAACGAGTGAGGATGAGGAGGAAGGGAGGATGGAGGGAGGATGGACTAATGGAAGCAGGACACAGCTCGCTACGATTACTCAGCATAAGGTCACCTGTTTCTCTCTGTCTCTGAACCCTGTTGAGCAGAGCTGCATGAGCCCCTGCGGCACATCGGAGCAGCATATCTGTGCACACGCAGGCAGACGGACACACACAGTCACAGATCTCGGCCAACCACAGCATACAAATTGCCATTCCCCCTCCCTAACAGCCAATCAAAAAAAGTAAGCTCTGCTCTAAAGCAAGCACACTGAAGGAATGACATCACCTGTTGCTGGGCAGAAACCTGTTAGAGACAGGAAGCCCTGGACCTGATATCATGGTCACCATGGAAACTGAATTACTTAGAGGGGAGGTCGAAGGGAGAGAGGATGGAGATGTGAAGAGACCGAGTTTTGAGAGGGGAAGTAAAGTTGGAGTTAGCTGCGTAAAGTGTAACATGTTGTGTGAGTGACTTGTGCCTGTGTGTCATGGCATTACACTCTTAACTGCTCAACACTCTTTATATACACCTTTATGGATGACAGAGAGTGAACCCGGGGTATTTAATTGGTCAAGGATCCACTAAAGCCCGCGTCACACTGTCCCGAAATTGACACCAGATGGACACACGATAAAGGAAATGTTCAAATTCGGCTCTGATCGCAACAACATCAGGCCATTCGTGAAGGCATCTTAAGCCATCGTATGACCGCCGGTGGAGATTCATGTTAACATATTATGTAAATACCATCGGGAGGTCACGTGACGCCTTCGTGACCTAGTTCGAACGCATCGTACTCTCAATATGATGCGTGGTGTAGCCATTGTGTGGCCTTCATGTGTCCTGCGGGTATAAACTACTATAAAAATGCACATCTTCGTGTTGCCTTCGTGTGTGGTTCGGGTGCCATGGTGTGGCCTTCTGTAGGCATCGTACTTGCTTCGGCTGTTGCTTGCTGTTCCTCACTAAACCGCAGCCACGTTTTAATTATGGGAGACTTTAACTATCCTGAAATTGGTTGGCAACCCATACGGGCACCAGAGAGTGAAAACCACCCTGCATCCATGTTCCTTGAATGCTTGAGAGACTGCTACGTATTTCAACATGTAACAAAACCAACTCATGTAAGAGGTAACCAAACCCCACACGTGCTTGACCTAATTATCACAAATGAGGAGGGAATGGTTGAGGATCTAAGCCATGAAGCACCACTAGGAAAAAGTCACCATGACTGCCTGTCTTTCAAATTTCTATGCTACCATGAGATATGCGACAATCCAAACCGCAAGTTCATCCTTGATAAAGGAAATTATGAAGGCCTGAAACAGGAAATGATTGGGACAGACTGGGCACAGACCTTTGAAAACAAGTCAGCTTCAGCACAGTGGGAGGCCATGGAAGAAAACATCCTAACAAGTTGCAAGAGGCAGTTGCATAGGTCATGTAACTCCTATATTCAAAAAAGGTGACCGAAGCAATCCTGGAAACTATAGGCCTGTCAGCCTTACAGCAGTAGTATGCAAACTCCTTGAATCCTTGGTGCGTGATGCCGTCATAGAACATCTTGACTCAAACAACCTATTATCAGACCGCCAACACGGCTTAGTCCAGGGCAGATCCTGTTCAACCCAACTCTTGGCCTGCCTTGACATATGGTCTCGTACCCTTGACGAAAGAGGAAGTCTCGATGCCATTTATTTGGATTTCCAGAAAGCATTTGATACTGTACCTCACAAAATATTACTGAATAAGCTCTATGGGTATGGTATCCGTGGAGACATACTCACCTGGATCTCAGACTTTCTCAAAAACAGGCGACAGAGAGTCTTTGTTAACGGGAAACCATCTGGATGGTGCCCAGTTCTCAGTGGAATTCCACAAGGTAGTGTCCTGGGTCCTGCACTGTTTGTCCTCTATATCAACGACCTACCCGATAATGTGAGCTCCATGGTCCAGATGTTTGCAGATGATACTAAAGTCTTCAAGGAAATTAAGTGTAAAGAGGATGCAGAAAAACTCCAGTCAGATCTCAGAGAAATACAAAGATGGTCCGAGTGTTGGCAGCTCAAATTCAATGCAGCAAAGTGCAAAGTAATGCACTTAGGTTTTCTGAATAAAAATATGAGTATATATGGGTGATAATTCAAACACTATAAACCTATCCGAGACTCAGAATGAAAAGGACCTTGGTGTGAATGTTGACAATACCCTGACATTTAGTGACCATATCCGTCGGGCAAGTAACAAAGCCAATAGTATCCTAGCAATGATCCGCAGATCATACACTTATTTGGACTCTGACGTAGTACGTAGTTTATACATCTCTCTTGTACGGCCACTCCTCGAGTATGGGAATGTCGCTTGGTCCCCCATGTACAAAAAGGATGCTGAGCTCATCGAGGAAAATACAGAGAAGGGCAACGAAGCTGGTTCCAGAACAAAATGACCTACCATATCAAGAACGACTGCAACGTCTTAAAATCCCGAGTATGTATTATAGAAGGGCGAGGGGAGATATGATCGAAGTTTTCAAATATCTCCACAACATCTACAAAACATCATGCCCAATACAACGGGATTATAACACCAGGACTCGTGGACACTGCCTCAAGTTGAAGAAACAGTACTCAAGACTGGCTATCCGCCGCAACTTTTTCAGCCTGCGTGTGGTCGACTTGTGGAATGATCTGGCAGAAAGCGTTGTCACATCCAAGACGGTTAACTGTCTCAAATCCCGCCTCGACCACTACTGGTCAAACATCACCTTCACTTTGGACTATGTGACTGTTGCCAGCATCCATAGTAAATAAAGAATCAGTGATCTACTCATTTATTTATGAGCGACTAAAAGGCCTTAGGCCTATTACAGCCGTATCCTATTGATTGATTGATTGATTGGCTGTTGACCAAGTTCGGGGCCATCTTCGTGCGAAATTCACAATTCCATATTCGTGTGTCCATCTGGTGTCAATTTCGGGACAGCGTGACGCCAGCCTTACTGAAATACTGAAATAAACCTTTAAAACTTTCATTTAAGGGGGAGATACTACAGGTGAATGGGATAGAAATCTGATCTGAGTAATATCATCACGAAGCTACCCCAGTTTAAACATTAAGACCTTTTATTTTTGCATAATGCTTTCTTAAAGGCATTATTGCACATTTTGCCTGTAGTGTCTAATGTTAAAATAGAATAAGACTCACTTGAGTTGTGTATTTCCCATTGTGTGTGCAGACATGTGTAGTTTATTCTTGCAATCTGAATTTGTGATTTTATTACTTTATTTACAGAAAGAAATGTGCTTACACTTGTCTGTCCCTTCCCTCTGTCTCTCAGGTGTCAGTGGAGACCCAGCAGACATTGAGCGTCGGTGCCAAGCGTTCGGCGCAAACTTCATCCCCCCGAAGAAGGCCAAGACATTCCTGGAGCTGGTGTGGGAGGCCTTACAGGACGTCACACTCATTATCTTGGAGGTTGCTGCCATCATCTCCCTCGGACTCTCTTTCTACCAGCCTCCAGGAGGTGATACCGAAGGTGAGAGCAGGGCCAGGAGGGGCTGGGGCTTGAGATCTGTTTTGCGCTGTAACCTCTATTCTGTTGATAATGTAGGTCAATTGTTTTTTATTCTTGCGCCTTTAAAATAAACCACACTGAAACAAAAGACACATAGCACTGGTGATAGGGAAGAGCCTTGCTAAAATGACCTCAACAATTGCACACTAACTGACCCAAGACCATTTCTTAGGTTTGAATACAGATATCAGTTATTTATTACATATACATGTCACATAAAAAATGATTTGATCATTATTGAAATTGTGCAGAAATATGGCTGGATGTGTTGTGACGACTGACATAGCATGAACCAGTAACGTTAGCGTTAGTTAAACACAATCAGGTTTTGATTCCTCAGTGGATTTAAGCAAAATGAGAGGAAGTATTTACAATGTTCAAAAACATTTGAGGGGTCAGTTACTGCGCTGTCACAATGTAACCTCTTAATGCTGAAGAGGAGTTGGCACATGAGCTGTTTTAAGCTAAATGAAAAGATGTTAGCAGGCTATCCACATCACCCTGGGGTTTACTGTCACAGAGGAACAGCAAGGCTGGTTTAAGCGAGGCCGCTCTTTTGTTCTTACATAGTTATATTACTGGCATCTTGCAGTGATACTTGGGACATTTGGCTGGGAACATCTACAATAGACATAGGCTGAAGAAACAAAAAGCTTAATGGTTGCCATTAGCTGGTGTGTTTACCACAGTGAGAGGTCCTCATAGAGAGGATGTGGGCTCAGTGAACAGGACGCTGTGCCTCTGTCTGAAACCAAATAGTTCACATCGAAAACCGCAGCACACACAAACCCCTTTATTTAGTTAGGTAGCAATAAGCTAGGTATTGAATAATCGTTTGAATAAAAGTAAATTATATAAATATTTTTAAAACTATAGAAAGAGCCAGCCTCCTTTAGGAGGTTTGGAAATCTGTCCTCTTTCAATTTCAGCTTGACCCATTTATTTAAATTTGGATCGCAGATTGTCTTTAACTTTACTTTCCATCATACATCCAATAAATGAAGGGAAATAAAAAAACAGCTGGTACTTTGAGTAGGTTAAATACAAATATATCACGTCTGGTTGTATATTTCACAACAAATCTAACCAAGTTTCCTCTGCCGCCCTCTCTCCAGCATGTGGGGTAGTGCAGGGGTCTGGAGAGGATGAAGGCGAGGCGGACACCGGCTGGATCGAGGGCGCCGCCATCCTACTGTCTGTCGTGTGTGTTGTCCTGGTGACGGCGTTTAATGACTGGTCCAAAGAGAAGCAGTTCCGGGGTCTACAGAGTCGGATCGAACAAGAACAGAGGTTCGCTGTGGTGCGTAAAGGAAATGTCATACAGATCCCCGTGGCTGACATGGTGGTGGGGGACATGGCCCAGGTCAAATACGGTAAGGACCCCATCATGAACGCTTATTGCAAAAAGGAGCAGCATTATATAAATAGTTTTACTGTTAACCCATGTTCTTATTGAATGATAAATTGTACACCCTTCATTATATCTTTAAAAATGACAAATGCCCATTACAAGCTACAAAAAAAAAAGATTAAAATTGCATTTAATTTCAGACCAGCAATGAAAAACTCAAAAAAAGGAACATATTATAATTAATATAATATAATAATACTTAGTGCTATTAATGATCAAAATGAAACATTTGAACCCTCTTTTTCACCATTGACTTGAAATGGTAAAGCCTGCATTTGTGCGAATTCAATTATATCTCTTTTTCAACAGGAAGTTGTAATGCTCCTGTCTGGACCTTTCTGGCTCTTGAAACAGTTTCAAAAATATATTACAATATCACAATGTAACTAAGTTGCATCTTAAAATACACTGTTCCTGCTGGGAGTTTGATGAGAATGTACATACCATGTTGATACAGCCAGCAGGCAATTAGCTTAGCCTAAAGACTGGAAACATCTCAGCTAGCAGCTAGGCAGACCCTTTCCAAACGTGTGCAGAAAAGCCTATTTACTCACTGTAGGAACTACTTCTGCTACACCTGTACTCAGAGGTGGGAAGTAACTAAGTACATTTACTCAAGTACTGTACTTAAGTACAATTTTGAGGTACGTGTACTTTACTTGGGTATTTCCCTTTCATATTACTTTATACTTCGACTCCACTACATTTATTTAACAGCTTTATCTACTTTTAACAAAATGCATCCCTCAATATTAAACTAGTGGACACACTTTTCAAGTAAATAAAAGAGTCCAATTATTTAAATATGTTACATATAGTCAATCAGAGCTTTTTGTCCACAACAGTAAAATGTTAGAAATTGCACATATATAAATATCATTATATTCACACATAAAGGTCATTTCTCTGCACAATGATTACTTTGACTTGTTATACTTTGACTTGTTATACTGTACTTTGAGTCCATTTAGCTGATAACTGATTGAATGAAAAACATTTTGAAAGTAGGACTTAATAATGTATTGGTACTTGAACTCAAGTTATGCATTTGAATACTTCTTCCAGCAATGCCTGTAGTGCCTATCTCTGTATCATGTAGTGGTATGCATAGTGTCCACACAAGATATTGAGACATAAATATCTGCAGGCTGAATCAACTGTGATCTGTGCACGTGTGTGTTCAGGGGACCTGCTGCCAGCTGACGGTGTGTTGGTCCAGGCCAACGATCTGAAGATAGATGAGAGCTCTCTGACCGGAGAGTCTGACCACGTAAGCAAGTCAGTGGACAAGGACCCCATGCTGCTCTCAGGTTTGTGTTTACTCATAACGTTTTTTTATATTTGCACTCCAACCTGGTAGGCCTACTACTTAGAGGAAATCAAATGGTATCCATTTAGTTCTGTATCGTTATAGATACATTTCAGTGGACACTATAACTGAAGACCTAAATATTCTTAATGGTCCGATTTATATAAAACCTGTCTCTGAAGTGTTTGGCTGAAACACCAAACAGATCATTGTAGCATCCCATAATCCCCTCTGTTTCAGCCCTGTTTCCAAAAGTGCTGATTCTGTGTCTGTATCTTTAAATGCTAATGAGCTGCTGCTGGCCACGCCCCTCTGAGAGATGATTGGCTTAAAAAACACAATGGTGCTCTAGAGGGATATGTAGGTGATACGTTCGGTCGGCTTTAGTTAGTTAGTGGCTAACCCAACAAAAACATTGTGACTTCACAAAGTGGCTAAATCTGATCAGCTCATTTTCAGACAGGTTTTCAGATAGGTGGATCAGGACAAAAAGAGAGCGGATCTGCTTTCCTTTCTGAATCTCTTAACATACTGGGGACTCATATTTATGTATAAAAGCCATGAAAAAGTGGATTTTGGGTGAATGAAATAAACACCTGGCAATTAAATTAAATTAAATACAATAGCAGGGAAATAAATACTACTAAATGTTACATTTGTATTGGGGCTGTGTCACAATGGTTCAACTTATTAGGCTACTTGTTGCCCAATTTCTGTGTGTACACGGAATGGATTCATCGACACAAAAGTTCCACACAGTTTGGAGATGTCAGAAAGGCTTCTCCTCACTTTGCAGATTATGTGGTTCTGTTGGCTTCCTCAGACCGTGACCTTCAGTGGATTGTGTGGACTGTGAGTGAAGCGCTGCCCTGAGTGAGAGAGCTCAAGTGTATAGGGATGTAAAACAGTAAGGGTGCAATGGAGTCTGCTGGACAGAGGCGTTGGTCAGCAGTAATGTGGGGGCTGCTTCAGACTGTCGTGATATGTCAAATATGTTTAAACAAGAAACCACTAACCTTATTACTTAGGAAAACACCAGAGGGAATTAAATAAAAGATTCCTACTTATTTCTCGTAATAAGAATACAAGGAATTGGTGAAAAGATATTAACTTCATTAACTCACAATGGAAGATCTAGTCAATGAAATGGAAAAAATAACCCAAACGACTCGGGAATATGTTTTTGTGGAAAGGGATAAAGGCAACAGATATAATTATCAATCAGTCCAGTTCTCCTCAGCAACTTTTAAGCACAATTCCTCCCATCCTCCCTCAAGCTACAGCAACCGGCTGTTTTCAGTGAAACATATCTGGTAAACCTGCCTAGCAGCAATCGGTATCTTGGACCACTTGGGGATGCACCATTACCTAATGAACATTGTTTTTGGTGGTTAAGGTACCCACGTGATGGAGGGCTCGGGCAGGATGCTGGTGACCGCTGTAGGAGTCAACTCACAGACGGGCATCATCTTCACCCTGCTGGGGGCTGGAGAGCTGGAGGAGGAAGGGAAGGATAAGAAAGGCAAGTGAAGGAGAGGAACCAGGAGAGAGACACAAAATACAAACTAAAAATGTTTTGGACTGTATTGAAAAAAGGTTAGAAATAGAAATATTTTTGTTGAAGAATCGGGAAATGAACATTCTAAATATTTAGTGAAACATTAGAAGAACAAAGGGTTTGGTTTTTGAAATGCAATGCAGTAGTACACTGACGAAAAGAAGAGTTTCTCTCTGCCATCTCCATGGACCAATACCTCACACTGCTCTCGAGTCATGTAGTCACACACACACACATAGATGGATTACTGAATTAGCGGGCACAGGCCCATGTGCTGCTGAGACACACACAGCGAACACACGATCCTGTAAAACAACCTCAAACACAAGAATGAGAGAAACAAAGCAACTTTGACATGTCTGTGCCTAAGGGCCCTCTATCTCATTATCTGGCTGTGTGTGTGTGTGTGTGTGTGTGTGTGTGTGTGTGTGTGTGTGTGTGTGTGTGTGTGTGTGTGTGTGTGTGTGTGTGTGTGTGTGTGTGTGTGTGTGTGTGTGTGTCCATGTACAGTGATTTGGCTGCCTAACTGATTGCAGATAAGAGCTCCAACAGGAAAAACAGCAGTTTAACCTCATCGATAATTTAGACCCCATCCTCATCCCCCTGACCCCACCCCACCCACCCCCCAACCCCCCCTCGTGCTCCCTCTCTCTGCCTATCTGTGCCTCTCACTCGCTCTCTTGTTTACCCCACTGCTGTGCCCTTTCACTCCCCTGTCTTTCCCTTCCCTCCCTTAATCTGAGAGAGAGGCTGCAGATTGAATCAATGATTGAGAGAGCGGGGGAGAGTGGGGGAGAGCGGGGGAGCCGGTGAGATTCAGGGGAGAGTGTTGGTTGGTCAATGCTCGGAGCATTAGCGTCTGCTCAGATTTGTTTAGGAGGAGCCGTGCAGTCAGAGCAGAGCTGCAGACAGCATCAGAAGCACTTACGGTTCATGTCATTACCCAGGCACTCTCCATGCCTCCACCAGCTCTCATCATGCATGGGCATGTGTGGCGTTTGTTTGAAAAGGACAAAACACATCCTGGAATGTTTGAAGTAACTAAGTACATTTACTAAGGTACTGTTCTTTAAGTTTTTTCTTTTGTTTTCATTGACCATTAACAACACTAGAAACTCTGAAATGATAGGTATATTAGCAGTGGTGTAAAGTAACTAAGTACATTTACTCAAGTACTGTACAGTACTAAAGTACAATTTGGAAGGACTTGTACTTTACTTGAATATTCATTTGTTTTGCTATTTTGTAGTTCAACCACACTACAGTTCAGACGTACATGGTGTACTTTTCCTCCACTACATGTATTTAATACTTGTAGTTACTTCACAGATGTGGATGAATGATGTGAAATATAACCAAGTGTTGAATCAGACTTTAGTTCCACCTGGAGTAAATCCACCAGCTACCCTGCAGTATACAAAGTCATTCAAACTAGCTGCACCTTTACCAGCTTTGAGAACACTTTCATGATCAATCATTATAAAACATATCATATATATTATTCTGAAATCCAATCTGCACAATGACTACTACTTTTTATGCTAATTCTTTTTGATTGCAGGACTTCTACAGTGTGGTATTTCTGTACTTCTTCCACCACGGCTAGAATGTAGATATGACCATCAACAAATCAGCTGATGATGCCTATTTCAGTAGAAAAATACACTTGTTTTATCAAAGTGTGAGTGGCACCGGAGGATGCACTCAGTGCTGCAGCCTCTGTGGGCAGGATCAGTCAGACAGTCATTACTGGAGATAATACATTATGCATACGACTTCCACCAATGCCATAACTTCTTTGTTATTCCTCATGCAATGTGGCTTTGCTATGGGGATACACACTTTTATTTTTGAATTGTCTAGCATTTGTAATTGAGGTTTTATTCAAATCACTTTTCCATGCTATTTAGTCATGTGCAAACATTCTACTATGCGGACAAACACATTCACGACTGGAGTGTTTTATTCTTCCCTCTTTGCTTCTCTTTTGTTCTCCCTTTTTGCCAAATCCTCTCAAACCCTCCCTTCCTCACACACTCCCCTAACAGAGGACAGTACTCAGTTGCTCATCTCCACAGATGCCTCTTTCAGCACAGTCACCAATGGTATGTGAGCATACAGTTGTCTGCCTGCCCCACTCCTCCCCAGCACACAGTGCAGTGAGAGTGACCTATGATGGACTCATGCATATGATCATGTCTCTCAGTCTCTTGACCCAGTGTATGAAGATGTGTGTACCTTTATTCATCTTCCCTTTAGTATTGTTTCTTTGTGGTTTTCCAAAAGTGTGTCTGTCAGAAATATGAACTGTTGGTGACTCCTTACATGTGAACACTTCTCTGTCATACATATGTCTCTCCAATCCCTTCAATGTACCTTTCTCTAAATCAACCTCCCTTTCTCACAGGAAAACAACCTGATGGAGCTGTGGAGAACAATCAGAACAAAGGTAAAGGGGTGTGTGTGTGTGTGTGTGTGTGTGTGTGTGTGTGTGTGTGTGTGTGTGTGTGTGTGTGTGTGTGTGTGTGTGTGTGTGTGTGTGTGTGTGTGTGTGTGTGTGTGTGTGTGTGTGTGTGTGTGTGTGTGTGTGTGTGTAACGCTGAATTCAAATGTGGGATGACCTTATTTCATCTGCAGGAAGAGATGCAAAGAGTGTGTAAGTGTATTTTTCTGTGTGTTTCAGCCAAGAAGCAGGATGGGGGTGTTGCCATGGAGATGCAACCCCTGAAGAGTGCAGAGGGAGGGGAGGTGGAGGACAGAGAGAAGAAGAAGACCAGCGTTCCAAAGAAGGAGAAGAGTGTGTTGCAGGGCAAGCTCACCAAACTCGCTGTTCAAATTGGCAAAGCAGGTAAAGAAGCGTCTTTCCGGACCTCATCAGGTTTCAGCAGGCGTATGAACACAGTCCATCCTGTAGCTGTCCCGCAGAGCTCCTGGTGCAATGACGTAGAGAAGGCAAAGACATTGTTTATTCTTAAACTTGATGCCAATATATTTTTGCTATTTGTTTTTAAACTATCTTGCAAAAATGTTGCAAAACCTTAACTTCTATATGCACCAAGCTTTGCTGTTTCGTTCTTATCCACAGCATTTCCTGAAGGTCCTTCCTGAGGGCAGAGTTCTTACAAAAAACATGGCAAACCCTTAATTACCAAAAAGATATTTAGTAGTTCACTGTATTTTCGGACTTGTAAACTGACATAAAAAGATTATGAAGACACACTCATTAATAATATTTGACTCTAATATGTCCACAAAGAATTTTAAACCTGGCTTTATCCAATGTTCTGTTCTGAACATGATATATGCACATATGAAATAAGAAATGACCTCATTAACATATTTAAACATTAAACAATGTTTAGATTCATACTTAGAGTGATATTTTATAAAAGGTGTGTAAAAGATGATATAAGAGCTGTGCTGGAATGTGATCACACAGATTATTGTTAAACACGGCTTTGAATCTCCCCACAGGTTTGGTGATGTCGGCCATCACCGTCATCATCCTGGTGCTGTACTTCGTCATCAACACGTTTGTTGTTGAAGGTCTGTGTGGAACAACTTCTCCGAATGCACCCCTCTCACGTCTTCCACTGTGTTCAGTATGATTACAGTTGTTATTTTGCCACAATAATTATTGATGGTGTGTGTCGCAGGTCAATCGTGGTTAGCAGAGTGTACTCCGCTGTACGTGCAGTACTTCGTCAAGTTCTTCATCATCGGTGTCACCGTGCTGGTGGTGGCTGTCCCAGAAGGCTTACCTCTGGCTGTGACCATCTCTCTGGCTTACTCTGTCAAGGTACACACACACACACACACACACACACACACACACACACACACACACACACACACACACACACCACACACACACACGACACACACACACACACACACACACACACACACACACACACACACACACTCACACCAAACACACACACACGCACACACACACACTTGATGGGGAAAAGAAAATGTGCATGTTATCTTAGATTCATTAAATTAACAATTTCACACTCTACTGATAGCATTTTCAATCATTTTAAACCCAATTATATTATATTTAAATGATGATAACAACAGACTTCAAGCTAAACCTTCTCATTCACAAATGATATTCAAAAACAGAAGGAGCCTGAATTTATATTTCAAATAAAACGATGAGGCTATTTATCATGCCGAATATATTTAAATATGCCAATGTCAAAACAAATGATATATATATTGCCAATTCTGATATGAAAAGCCTGTGGAGTAGTGATGTGTGGAGGCAGATCAGGGTTTTTAATACATGCACCTATCTGCACTGTCCAAATGTACAATACTGCTTAAAACAAGCACAATAACCCCATCTCATTTATGAATGCAGCTTCATATAAAAAGAGCATGTTATTTTCACTCTACCTGAGACTTCTTGCCTCTAACGTCAAAAGGGGCTCTTTGATTGGTAGATATGAAATGATTGATGGAGGCCAGACAGGTGCCGAACTTTACATCAAGATCTATTTTAAGCGGTGGTGGATATTACACAATAGATTGAGAAGTACTTCAGTGCTTTTTTTTGGTCAAACTTGTACTTTACATGAGTATTTTCATTGTATTCTACATATAGTCCTACCACTACATTTCAGAGGGAGGTATTGCTATTTTAAAAAAGGACTGTATCTGCCCTTGAACTTTCCACACTTAATTTACCCTGCCCTTTCTGCCTTTGTCCTTCTGCCCCCCCCTCTCTATCCATCACCCCCCGCCCCCTGCTCCCTACCACCCTCTCACGTGTAGAAAATGATGAAGGACAACAACCTTGTCCGTCACCTGGATGCGTGTGAGACCATGGGGAACGCCACGGCCATCTGCTCCGACAAGACGGGGACCCTCACCACCAACCGCATGACGGTGGTGCAGACCCACATCGGTGAGTGACACCGACAATTTGGGAATGCTTTTATTTGACAAAATGCGGTCTCGTTTGTGTCCTCAAAATAAATATGTTTTCATAGGTTTTAGGAACATAACGTGGCCTATACTTAGTTTAAACAATGAGGTTTTTAGGTGTTTAGGCTAAGTGAACTAAACTCACCTAATACAATCAGGTGTAATCTGTTGACATACTACTTTTTTTTAGTTAGTGTAACTAATTAACAAAATGGGTTCTAATGGGTTCTAATGGGTTCTAATGGGTTCTAATGGGTTCTAATGGGTTCTAAGGGGTTCTAAGGGGTTCTAATGGGTTCTAATGGGTTCTAATGGGTTCTAATGGGTTCTAATGGGTTCTAATGGGTTCTAATGGGTTCTAATGGGTTCTAAGGGGTTCTAAGGGGTTCTAATGGGTTCTAAGGGGTTCTAATGGGTTCTAATGGGTTCTAAGGGGTTCTAATGGGTTCTAATGGGTTCTAATGGGTTCCTTGCTCTGAATACACTGGAAACCACTGGTCATGTTTAAATCCAGTGTTAGACACATCTTTCCTGACATACAGCTGACGGACTGGAGCATAGAATGGTTTTAGCTTGGATAGTTACTTCATGTCTTTAAATACTGACATTTTGCCCGTGCCAGAACACTCAGTAATATTATAATATCAATTCATATTGTTTAGCAAATTATGCAAAATAATTTACATAATTATTAATACATTATTATAAATGAGCATTTATATCATTAATACCTTACTATTGTGTTTAATTAACTTTTAATTTACAATTGATCAGTGATGATGAAGTGTTACTTTATGGTCAAAATCAATAAAGAATATGAAGATATATCCAAACTTTATGTCGCTATTGTGGGTCAGGCAAAAAAAGAACACAACTCCATGATCTAAATTCTCCCTTTCAAACACAATGCCCTACTTTCAAATGCACATTTCTTTGTATATTAGATATCAATCTGTAATCATCCTGCATAACCTGAGACGGCGTCGATGACATCAGGTTGCTCTTTTATATTTCTGTCAGTAATACACTTTTCATAGCACCTTGTATACCGAGAACTCAAGACTTAAACCAATAGAGCTAAACTTCATTCCAATAGTAGAAAAGCTGTTTATCTGTAGCTAGCTATTTCCATGTTCATATCACAGATGAGACGTGTGAACATGGACTAATCTCATCAATATCACGGGCTCTTCATATGATCTGATGTGTGACGGAGGAGCAGGCAGCAGATGGGGATTCCTGTAGGCTGACTGTGCAGATTATACTTGATTTGTATTAAAGCTAGATTGTTGTTGCCCAGGTGACGTGCACCATCGTTTAGTCCCGGACCCCGGTCAGATCAACGCCCGGACGCTGGATCTGTTAGTCAATGCTATTGCTATCAACAGCGCCTACACCTCCAAGATCCTAGTGAGTCACGCACACACAGACACACACTGATCTGGCTTTGTTCTTCTCTTCAGGAGGCCTTGGTGCGTTTCCCTGCTTTATCTTTATCTGCTTTATCTTAACTTCTTCCTCTTGCCTCCCACATCTCCTTTCCTGACCTTCTCACTGCCCTAACCTACCACCCCAACTCGCTTCAATCTTACCCTGGATCAGCCGCCTGATGTGGAGGGGGGACTGGCTAAGCAGGTGGGCAACAAGACAGAGTGTGGCCTGCTGGGATTTGTTCTGGACCTCCAGCGGGACTACGCCCCTGTCAGAGAGCAGATCCCAGAGGAGAGGCTGTACAAGGTGGGCAAACACATCCACATCCACTAGCTTCAGTGAAGGTGTTATATACCGATATCTGATTTACATCCTGTATTCCAGGGTTCGAGTTATGTGGGAGCCAATGGGAGCTGAGCTCCCATAAGGAGGGGTCTCAGCTCCCACGGACGCAGTGAAATCATACATCTGTGGGGGTCGCTAATACATTACCAACAACCATTATTTTAATCACAAATAATGCATGTGTCAATGTAATGAGTATTATTTACGTTAACGAGGTAAATAGGCTAAAAGAAAAACATGTTTTCCAAAAGAACTACGCATCTCTTGAATGACAATATGCCTGCGCTGCACCTCCAAGGTGTGCAATACATTATTACGCAATCTATGTATGGAGTCAGATTTGTATGGGCTCAGAACAGTCTCATAATACACACATGCACACAGTGTTTTTCAATGCACACACAAATGTATTCCGTTTCATATACATGTAAATAAAATCCAAATACAGAAAAAAGTTTTACATATGTATTTTTGATCCTCACATATTAGTTTCCCGTTTAAATCCCCTGAACCTGCAAACACAAACAGCTTTCTGTGCACGGATCGCTTTGCATTCTTGTGTGGGTTTTTTGAGACTCCCCTGACGGTCAGCCGATTCGTACTTGTAATTTTTTCTATCTATAGCCAATCAGATGTCTCCTTCATTCTAAGCCAATCACATGAGCGCGCCCCCACGAGGGTAAGATTACTTCATATACGCATTTTGCGCAGGCCGGTCAGCTTGCTAAACAGAGGGCGGAGCTTCAGGTGATCATGCAGAGCAGCGTGTCTCCATCAGACTCAGCAGCTGATCTGATCTCTCTCTCGCGTCCGGTTATACTTCACTCGCGTTTATGTCCATATCGATCAGATCCAGCTCTCCTGATCGGCCTTTATAGAGAGCACCGATCAAACTATTAAGAGTGAATATCGGCCGATAATGACCGGCGGGGCTCCCCCCGTTAACAGGTCACTGTCTAGCACTGGCTTCGTAGTGCACTGATCGATTAGCCTAAGCTAACCTGTAGCTGCTCCCTCCACACTCACAACAACTTCATACAGACATAAATAAAGCAGCTGTATTTGCCACACAGGAAACACACATTTAAAATGGGTTTGCGTGCCGTTTTTGTGTACACAAGCATTCATCAATGGTTCGGAAAGTGGCGCTGTACCTTAATAATATAAAGGCTTGTATTTGCGTGCATTTCCTGTTCGGAAAGTGGCGCTGTACTGAGAGTGGAGGTGTCCTGACACATTAGCGCCTGCAGGCAGGCTCCATGGACCTGTCAGCTCCGGACTGCGCAAAATGTGTACATGAAGCGCTACGTCATGAACGCAAGAAATCTACCCTCGTTGGGGCGCGCTCATGTGATTGGCTTAGAATGAAGGAGACATCTGATTGGCTATAGATAGAAAAAATTACAAGTACGAATCGGCTGACCGTCAGGGGAGTCTCAAAAAACCCACACACGAATGCACAGCGATCCGTGCACAGAAAGCGGTTTGTGTTTGCAGGTTCAGAGGTTTTAAACGGAAAACTAATATGTGTGGATCAAAAATACATATGTAAAACTTTTTTCTGTATTTGGATTTTATTTACATGTATATGAAACGGAACACATTTGTGTGTGCATTGAAAAACACAAGTGTGGATCCGGAAATACAAGTGTGAATCCTTTTGCAGATCATGAAATACAAGTGTGAATCCTTCTGTGCGCATGTGTGTATTATGAGACTGTTCTGAGAGATTTGGGTCAATATTCTAGCGCGTAAAACAAGCTACTCACGAGCGGAAAATGTGCTTTTACACGCGCATAAAATGACTCTCGCGCGCCGATTAAACCCCCGCGGGCGGCTATGCGCTCGCTCGTGAGAGAGACAGCCCTCTTGCTCCCTCGCGGGAGTGTCAGCCTCACTCGCTCGCGGAGTCTGTCTCCGCGCGTGTGAAAAGTTTCTGACACTTTGGGGCGGAGCCACTGGACTTTGATTGACAGCTGCCAGGAACCCCGGAGTTGCCAGGTTTGATAAATGCCTGAACTAAGAGCCGAGGAGTGACAGCTGCAAGATCAGTTGGACGAGATTGAATGGTAAAGTTGTCCATAATAAACTATTATATTCGTAAAGTGTACAGCTAATATATATATATCTCAATTCATTTGATATAAATAAATGACATTAATTCTAGGAGTGCAATACTTTTACAAACACTATAGTAATAATATGCATTCACTATACAGTGGTTCTCAAACTTTTTCTGTCATTCCCCACTTTGTACATATTATGTTCTAAAGCCGTGGAGGGCGGGAGTTTATAAACCAAAGAGTAACCGCCCTTACGGGACGCTGTAATAAGTAAAGCAAACGCACCCGCAAGGACACCTGGCCTCCTATTGGTTGAGGGATTTTGACAGGGTTGTTGCACAAAAGTTCTGAGCGCGCACAGAAGAAATCTGAGAGCAGACATTTCACGAGCGCACAGAAATAGCCTGAGTGCGAGGAGAAGGTTTTAAGCTGGAACACAGGAAATCTGTAAGCAGCAATATATCTGAGTGCAAGCGTACAGTTTGAGCAGAAGCAGAGCAGATCTAAGCGCAAGCAGGCACTATTTGAGTGCGAGGACAGGGTTTGAGGGAAAGAATTCAATAAAGTATGCTCTCAAATTTAAATACCATGCTCTTGAATTACAGGGAATAGGGAATAACCCCCATACGGATGTAGCAAATGTCGCTGAATTGCTTGCATACATCAGATTTATTTCAGAAGACAACTTTGTTGAGGAAATATTATTTTGCAAATCACTGGAAGGTAGGATCACATGAAGAGAAATGTTCCAAGTTTTAGATGAGTACATCATCTCAAATGGACTTGACTGGTCTCGTTGTGTGTGTGTGTTCAGATGGGGCAGTGGGGCTATGACAGGCAAAAAAAGCAGAGTGACAGCTTTGATCAGGCAGAAGGCCCCAAATGTAGTGGCAACACACTGCATGTTCCATCGGGGGGCACCATTGGGGGGCACTTAAAAAAACAGGGGGGTCCCCGCCAGAGAATAATGCTATATGGGGGTCCCTGGCACGGCAAAGTTTGGGAACCCCTGGACTAGAGCACGCTGAGGTCTATAGATGTTCGCTCATCAGACACGAGGAGAGCTGGAGCTTTGATGGCAAACACTGACGGTTTATTTGGAGCTTCGGCCGGAGAATTGTCTGTTTAAAATGAATCGAAGCATCAGACTAAAAAAGCTTTTGAAAATAACCGAATATTTCGATTAAGGTCAAAATATAATATTTGTAAATCTGACTCTGAAAGAGTCAGTGCCTCACCAGCCATGAATCTCACCGCACGTCACTGCCATACCTATATAAAACATGTCTGTGAAGTTTATTTTTCAAAATACCGAACAGACCATGCATTTTAGCCATGCCTCATTTCGCTCTATTTGCTCTATTCCAGCCCTGTTTTTGTAAGGGCTGATTCTGTGGCAAATGAGCTGCAGCTGACCACGCCCCCTGCAAAGAAGGGGGGCGAGGCACGAGCGTCATGTTACCATGCTGTTACCATGCTGTTACCATGCTGTTACCATGCCACAGCAACCTCTCATTCCCCTGATAGGTGGAGAGTTGGCCATATAGGCGGAGCTCCTTGTTTCTGACAGAGATATTTCAAATCTGGATCAGTCTGTATCAGATCCGTTGCAGCCCCGTTTTTAGAGATTTGGGTATGGAGGAAAAGAGAGAGGGTTGTGTTTTCTGACACTTGGTGAGTTCCCTGACACACCGGGGACACATATTCATGTATAAAAGACGTACAAAAGTGCATTTTGCATGATAGGTCCCCTTTAAGGGAGATAACGGCTGCTCAAGGTTGGTCAGCTGCGACAGAGGGCGAAGGAGGACATGCAGGGCAAATTATTCCCCAACAGTTACTATATTGATGCTCTTCTGGATATAAACCAAACAGAAACAACTTTGGGTCCAGTAAAATCTGCTTTTGAACACTTTCATCTTTCTGCACTGCCAAATACAGTCAAACCATGTTGTTCTCCCTTGATTCTGTGCATTTTGTGCATATATTTGTGTTGTATCGGTTCAAATCAACCTAGGTCACATACAGTATGTTCACATCAACCATTTTATACTGTATACGTTTAGGTTGTGTATTTTTAGACCTGTTGTGAGCAGCAATGAATACTTGAACTAGATTGTCCTGATCATACTTAAAGGTCTCCTATTATGCTATTTCTAGGCATATATTATAGGTCTCAGATATATACAATTATATAAAAAACATGTCTATGATGTGTTCTGCTCAAAATACCAAGCAGATCATCCATTTTAGACATCCCTCATATCCCTCTATTCCAGCCCTGTTAGAGAACTGCTGATTCAGGGTCCTTAGCTTGAAAAAGGAGGGGGAGCTTGTGCCTGCTCAGAATTCTACGAGATACTGCTGCCGTGATTAAAGTCAAAGTCAGCTTTATTGTCAAAATGTCTCCATGTGTTATACACACAGAAATCTTGAAATACCGTTTCTTGCAGTCCCACAGGGAGACACATAAAACAAGATACAAAAAGGGCCTAGATAAACGGGGTATAAAACAAAGTAATAATAAGTGTGTGTGTGTGTGTGTGTGTGTGTGTGTGTGTGTGTGTGTGTGTGTGTGTGTGTGTGTGTGTGTGTGTGTGTGTGTGTGTGTGTGTGTGTGTGTGTGTGTGTGTGTGTGTGCCCCGTTTTTAGAGATTTGGGTATGGAGGAAAAGAGAGAGGGTTTTGTTTCCTGACACTTTGTGAGTTCCCTGACACACCGGGGACACATGTTCATGTATAAAAGACATCAGAAAGTGCATTTTGCATGATAGGTCCCCTTTAAATACCGCTTCTTAAGTACAATTGTCGAGAAAAACTTCTTTACTCTCCCCAGTATGCATGTGTAGCATGAACTGAGTGACTGCTTGCTCCACAACCAATACAATACCAATGCAGTAGCACACTGACATCACACATCTCTATCAAGGACTATGGTGCATTCACATGCGACTTGGAAAGTCCTCAGGGTCGTTCTTTAGGTGGTGCAAACAACAGAGAAGATGTGTAGTGATGTATTGCTCATTTTAACAACACCTTAATATGTTTCAGAGTTTCTGTTGTCACACGAGGGGGCTTTACTGTGGCTTTTCCTAGTCGGGAACACACTTTTAATATACTACATGAATGCAGCACAAATGCCATATTGTGCAACTCCAATAGAACTAAAACCTCATTTGCATATCCGCCTTATTATTATATCTGCTACAAAATGTCTTAGCCCATGCTTCACCCTTACCCAAAGTTTTATGAAAATCAGGTTACTAGTTTTTCCGCAACCCTGCTGACAGACAGAAAGAGCTGAAAACATGACTTACTTGGAGGAGAAAAGAATCATCATTGGTTATAAAAAGTCTTTGCTAAACCCACATTGGATCTAACCAAAACAGTGAGAAACATGTGTGTTGCTTGCAGATCACAGTGCACAGTACAAACATGATACATTTTCTGTCTATCTCTGCTCTGACGAGTCTGGATCTTACCTGTCCATCTGTCTTCCTCTCAGGTGTACACGTTCAACTCAGTGCGTAAATCCATGTGCACAGTGATCAAGCTGCCTGATGGCTCCTTCCGCATCTACAGCAAAGGAGCCTCTGAGATCCTGCTGAAGAAGTGAGTGTGGGAGGAGGAGGTGTGGAGGGGAAATGTGATAGTTGAACACTGATTATTAGATTGTGTAATTAAATAGAGAATGTAAAAGACCAAAGATGCTTGGCTCACGAGTGTTTCTGTCCTCTAGGTGTTCCTTCATCCTGGATACCAATGGAGAAGCACGCACTTTCCGCCCACGTGACAGAGATGAGATGGTCAAACAGGTGAGACTTGATGAATTAACACTCCAATGTGCTGAATAGTATCTTTAAAATATCTTTAATTTGGACCTGGTGAAATAGGGTTTGAGATGCTGATCCTGTCATTACAACGTCCCCAGCCGGGTCCCTTTGCTACATGTCATTTACCCCTCTATCTCCCCCTATTTCCTGTCAACTCTCACTGTCTAATGCAGACAAATTCCCCCAAAACACTAAATATGAAGTTACAGCTAGGGAATGTTTAGATTAGACTGAAAGCTTTTAAGGCTAATTTGTTCTCTTTTAGCTCTGCTTTTGGTCTGCACCAAATCCTGAGGGAAATATCTGGCCCTTTAGCTTCCTAATACTCTGTGATGTTCACCCTGTCTGTTTGCTGCTGAGCGTACAGTGGGGTTTTAAAGCTCTTTCTGGAAACAGCTGTCCACTTTGTCCAAAAACAGACACTGAGAGTGGTGAGAACGAACCAAAACTCATCACTTTAAGTGACCCTTTGACCATTCTCACATTGTTATAGTTTTTTCAATTTAACCAATGTTATTTTTTAAAAACCCTTTTATTGCCAGTTGAAATATGTTAGCGTTTATATTTTTGTACTTTAACAGATCCAGGCCAGCTGTTTACCTCAGAGTCCACTCTTTGTGCTAAACTAAGCTAATCTGGCTCTAGTTTCATATTTAGCATACAGACATGTCATTTCTTGACATGAAAAAGAATAAGAATAAATAACCAAATATTTGTTAAAGGTCCCATGTCATGGCCATTTCTACTGATAATTCCCTTGTTGAGGTCTACTAGATAAATAGATTTACATTGTGCAATGTTCCAAACTCACATCGGTTTCTCATACAGCATCTCTGTATAGTACGTGTATTCACTCTCTGTCCTAAACGGCTCTGCAGCACCCCCATCTGCGAGACTCCAATAGCACCCCCCCCCCCCCAAACGCGGCGCACCTACAGTGTAAGCGGCCACAGTTTCGCTGCTGCGAAATGCTCCACTAGCACCCCCCCCCCAGCGTGTCACAGTTTCGCCACTGAGAGAGAGTGTGTGTGTGCGAGGAGCTCCACGGTCCATTTGGGTATGGTCACGTCACTGTACCCAACGTCCAACGAGGCGTTCTGGGGCAGCATAGAGATCTTTTCTGTGTTAGAGTTTTACTCGCTACAGGGTGTACTTTGAGGGGTTGTGACTCTGCAGACCGTTTACATGCAGAGAAACCTTCATAACACACAAGGGGACGGGTAATAACCGGAGAAGCATGACATGGGCCCTTTAACAGGCTGACTGACATAAATGGTTCAGGATTAACAGTTTTGAACAACTTTCTTCCAGCTCAGTAGTTCAGTTTGCAATGTCACCTACTCTTTACATCATACGCCCCTCTGCTGGCTGCAGCAGGCCAGGGGCTTTTCCCTTCATCCCTGTCACAGAACATTCTCACAAAGAACACAAAAGGTCATCTGACACAAACTTCCCCCTTGTGTTTAATCCCATTTTTATTCATCAGATTATGGGAATGTAAATGAAGCAGTCTGTGGTTTGATGCGGAATGAGATTTTGTGGACCCCCTCCCTGAATAACAGGTGATCGAGCCCATGGCCTGTGAGGGGTTGAGGACCATCTGCATCGCATACCGTGACCTGCCGGGGAATCCAGAGCCAGACTGGGAGAACGAAGCTGAAATAGTGACGGAGCTGACCTGCATCACTGTGGTGGGGATAGAGGACCCTGTGCGGCCTGAGGTAGGAGCAGTGCAGTCTGGGTGAGACTAGTTCCACTCTGAGACAGTACTGTCTTTATGTGCAGTCCATACTGTGTGAATAATTATAGTTCTGACTCAATAACTTATTTTGTTGGGGGATGAATTGCCCCTGAAAGAAAATCGCAATTAATGTAGTTATTGTCATTCCAAGACCATTGTATGCATCATAATAATGAACGAACACCGTCATATTTTGTTTTAGTAGTAATTGGCTCTATTACAGTGTATTACAACTTATCTTTAGATTTTATATTGTGTTCTCTATATAATATACTTTAATATATCAAGTGTTTTTTAATCTAATTTAATATTCAGATATTAAAATTAGAATGTGAAAAAAATATAAAAATATCAGAAATAAATAATATAAAAGCACACAACCTAAATAAAACAAAACATATGTCTGCATCCTGTTGGCTCAAATGTTCACACACTTATATAGATCTATTTCATTTTATAATCTAGATGAATTGTAATTGTAACTGTCTCTCTAAGGTACCAGAGGCCATCCGTAAGTGTCAGCGCGCGGGCATCACGGTGCGGATGGTGACTGGAGACAACATTAGCACAGCCAGGGCCATTGCTGTTAAATGTGGCATCATCCAACCCGGGGACGACTTCATCTGTATAGACGGCAAAGAATTCAACCGACGAATCAGGAACGAGAAAGGAGAGGTGAGCTGGGGTTGAGTAAACTTACATAAAAGTGGTTCCTTTAGTGTTCACATGAAGTATTCTGTCTCTGTACTTCAGAATGAACTAGACTGGATATTCATAAAATATCTGTTTGTTACTAGCCTTTAATCTTAGTCAGATTCATGTGTACACGTAATTATATGTTTTGCATACTGACAATGCTGATATATTTAACTTCCTTTTCTTTTTTATCACTACACAAGCATCGATCGGCCTGCACACTACGCTCTAGTTTACATGAGATGATATGTTAAGGCTGCAACTCTTTTATTATCGATTCATCTGCTTATTATTTCATCTTTAATCATTTGTATGTTGATAGTTTGTCTCTTGATCTTCCGGGCTGCAGTGTGCCCAGTGACTCTATCAGTGCCTGCACATTAAACACAAAGTCTATCTCTTTGCTACATTAACATCTGTTGGACTATTTCCTCTGTGAAATACACATATCCTCAGCTCATGCAGGAACTTTTATACATTCCCATGTCAACAAATTGCATATTCCTGTAAAAAGATCTTGTATTTTCTTTTATTGGCTATAGGCACACATCAAAATCAGTGCAGCCACTTCCGCTTATGATCTGATAACGCCTCTGTATGTCGTGCATGCATTATATTGTGAAAGGATTTTCTAGTCAGAGAACATATGATGTGAAATCTCCTTCCCTTATGGTGGAAGGCAATGAGAGCTCGGCTACAATATCAGTAAAAGGATGTTCGAGACCTAGAATAATTGATTTCTTCTGACAATCTGCTCCTCCAGTCTAGTTGGTTGCAGTAATGCACCAAATATTTGGTTGCCAACTGTCAGAACTCCTCAAAAAAATGTCTGCCATTCTGAACTTTGACTTTGTTTCAAAGGGAATACTCATTTAATGGAGTTTGACTTGATTGAGACCATGGGTGTTTCTCAATGTCGAGTACGCTTGCTTGGTAGCAAGCGTCTTGCTTCAGAAGCGAGGCAAGAATACTTCCGGGCATTCGGAAAACGAAGAGTGGAACAGGCTAGCAAGTGTGCAGGTGTGCGTCATATGAGAGGCCCCGCCTTACATTTTCCGCCACAGATTTGGGGAAATTGGTCCGTGCGCAAAGCATTGTGGGGATTTTAAGACCGCGGAGTCTACTCATGTGCAGCCTCGACATTTCTCCAAACGAAGCCCGCCGGGCTCGGTAGAATTCCAAGTATGCTGGACATTGGAACAGTACTTCGGCGGCACTCGATGACGTAGTATGCTTGAAATAGTGGCTCTGGAGCAGCTTTACTCGAGATTGAGAAACACCCTGTTGTGGCTTCCTTCCTTGTCTTTACATCAAGCCACTAGACGCCTTAAACAGACAGTTCTAACTCGTTTATTTCCTTTAAATTACTCACAGTTTGAAGTGTTGCTTGGCCTCCGATGGTTTAGAACAGTGGTTCCCAACCTGGGGGGCGCGACCCCCTTGGGGGGGCGCCAAAGATCGCAGGGGGGGCGCCAGGCCTCAAATAATTTGAGGCCAAATCATTTGGGGGGGCTCTTGGGAAAAAAGGTTGGGAACCACTGGTTTAGAAGATGTTGCGATGTGTTTGCTCAAAATAAAATAACAAACTTTTGCACATGCAACAAAGAAAATAGGCCTTTACAATATTCAAAAGAAATAGGCAAAACTCAAATAAAATAACAAACAACTTAGTTATTCTTTCTTTCTTGATAATGCTTATAACTTCATAACTTAAAGGGTACTTGTACGGTTCGTATGTACGTGTACGGTACGAGTACGCTTTAAGTTATGAAGTTATAAGCATAATGTAAAGACAAGGAAGGAAGCCACGACATTGTTAAAAACTGTTCCTCGACGGCGTCTCTCAACAGGTTACCCATCACTGTGGCTTTAGCACAGGCGCCGTGGGAATTGTAGTCCTTTATAGTGCGTTGACTACAGATGTCACAATTAGGTGGCCTTTCTTATAAAATCTAAATACTGGCTCTAACACACCCCATTACCTTTTCATGGCCACCTTTGCACTCACGATGCCTAGACTCTAGAGTTGCTATTGAAAATGTGTAGAAACATGCACTCATGTGATACCAAAAAAGCAGCAGCACATCCCCAGCTGGCACTGCAGCGGCTAGAACCAATTCCTGATACTTTATTCTCCATCCAAGATCCAAAAGTGACATCTATTGAAAGAAGAGAACAGCTAATAGGTTCTTTATGATGTAATTAATCATCACACTCTTTCCCCCCTTTTTTCTCTCCATCTGACAGATCGAACAGGAACGCATTGACAAAGTCTGGCCCAAACTTCGCGTGTTGGCTCGATCCTCGCCAACGGACAAACACACTCTGGTCAAAGGTGAGCTTCAGCTTTATAAACAGATGCACGCCCACATTCATTCACACACACTTGGAGCCCATCTGACCCCCTTTTTGTGTCCAGGCATCATCGACAGCACGGTGTTAGAGCAGAGGCAGGTTGTCGCAGTAACAGGAGATGGAACCAATGACGGACCAGCTCTGAAGAAGGCTGATGTTGGCTTTGCCATGGTAACCTGAAAGAGTATTCACCAATAATGTTTATTTATTGTTCATACCTTCTGTAGCTACAATAATGTATTATTGCATCCCCATTTTGAAGAATCTGCTAAGCAATTTCCTACTCAGCAAAATATATTTTAGCCACCTTAATAAGTGGCTTCAGTTGAAGTATACTTATAATTTTGTCAATGCACCTTGCTGTCAGACATCTTGTTGATGAACAGAGGACATAAACAAATTAACCCAGCCAAACTGATTTGTATTGGGGTCTACAATCTGTTTTGCAGCTGCCCAATCCACAGCAGTACGTAACTTACCCTCTACTGGTACTGCTGTGTGTTTCTCCAAACTGGGGGTGTGCTGACCTCCATCTATTGTAGGTTATACACTGGATAAATACCTCAACACTTAAAACAACCTAACTATGCTTGCCCTAACTTAAGGTAACTAAGATGGTCAAGGATTTATGACTCGATTTGTATTAAATATTAAATACATACCTAATATATATTGTATTTTATTTGGAATAAAAAACGTTTTAATAGTGTGGTTTAATAGTGGTTATATCTCTCACAGGCTCCGCCCTCTACTGGACTCTATGGGTACTCCCCTGTATCCTATTCATGCACGCATTCCTTCACTGAGACTGCCCTATACGTAGCCGGCCCCCTGGGCAGGCCTACCTGAATGCGCGCGCATCCACCGCATAACACGCGGCCTCGCCCCCTCACTGCTATCCCTTTCTCTTTTAGCTAAGCAGCTATCGAGTAACTGAGTGAGAGACAACAGATAGAAAGAGCAAGAAAAAGTTTTCTTTGGACAACGAATCGAATATGGACTCACCTGAGTCACTGTGTCCTTCGTGTCCGGGTTCTATCGGGAGTGACGATCCCCATACTCGGTGTATCGAGTGTCTGGGGTCTGACCACGCGGCGGCTAACCTGCCTCCATCAGCAGTCTGCAGCGCCTGTCGGCTATTGACCCGATCCAGCAGAGTGGCAGTGTTCGAGGGGTGTTACGTCTCGCCAGTGGAGGACCCAGAGCTCGAGGTGGTGGAGATGGAGGACCTCGTGCAGGGAGTGCCCTTCGTCTTCGCCATCCCAGCAGCCCGGACGGGTCCGGGCATCGAAGAGGAGGACGACGATGATGACACCTCGTCGTCCCATCTGCTTCCGCAGGCAGCTGGGTGGGCAGAGGGGAGAAGGCCCCTGCCCACGCTGCCGCGTGACCGAGAGATGCTTGAGTATCTGGATAAGATATTCAAGCTCGGGGTGCAGATGGCGGCGGCGGACAGGCGGACAGGGCCTTCCCCACGGGAGTCCGTGCACACTCTACACGAGCCATGGCTGTATCAACAGCCTTATTTAGTGGCGTAAGTGTGGAGGACATATGCACGTCGGCATCTTGGTCAACACCAGGCCCCTTCATTAAGTTTATCTCTTGGACATGTCTGGCTCCTTTTCATCGTCTGTGCTTGCTGGAGCAACACAGGACTGGTGAGGAGGGAGAGGGGGGGCTGTGGGTCAGGGGGCATCCGACCCCCTCCCCGGACGTAATGTGCTTATGTTTCCCGGGCCCCCGGCCCCGGGGGATGTAACGCACACATGGGCCCATAGGGGCTGGAGGTTTCTTTTTTCCCCTGCATTAAGGCAGGAGGAGGAAATCCTCTACGTTATGGCACACCTCCGTGGGGTAAGCGCATCAGGTTGTGCCCGGCCAGCCCCAGCCTCTTTCTCTCTCCTTGGCTACGGCCGAGGGAAAGGTGTGAGAGGCGCAGCGGCTACTAAACAGAAAGCCGGTTCCGAAACAAGGGGATGGAGCGGTGTTCTCGCGGGACAGCAGAGCGGGTATACATCGGCCTGTGAGAGATATAACATAGGGTTACGTATGGTAACCCATGTTATATAAGCACAGCTGAGCCCTCTACTCATGGAGCCCTGCTGCCCTATGCTACTGAGCTGAAGAGAAAGAAAGGGATAGCAGTGAGCGGGTGAGACCGCCTCTTATGCGGTGGATGTGCGCACATTCAGGTAGGCCCGCCCAGGGGGCCGGCTACGTATAGGGAAGTCTCAGTGAAGGAATGCGTGCATGAATAGGATACAGGGGAGTACCCATAGAGTCCAGTAGAGGGCTCCGTTGTGCTTATATAACATCCATACGTAACCCTACGTTATGGTCACAGACCTTTCTCACTTGCAATTGGAGTCAGGGCAACAAGATATTCACACAGTAGCACTCCAACATCATTTGAGTGTTTGGGTGAATCATGTGACGAGTGTCCGTCTGCTCCTCACTGTCTCATTGTGTGTCAGGGTATTGCGGGGACGGATGTGGCTAAAGAAGCGTCTGACATCATCCTGACTGATGACAACTTCAGCAGCATTGTGAAGGCGGTGATGTGGGGCCGAAATGTCTACGACAGCATCTCCAAATTCCTGCAGTTCCAGCTCACAGTCAACGTAGTGGCTGTCATCGTGGCCTTCACCGGGGCCTGCATCACTCAGGTGACACATTTATTAATAAACATACACATTGACACACGTGCATTCATACTCAGTCACAGAGACGTCACTTCTGTGAACATCACTCACCCTCTATCTGCTACAAAGCAAAAAGCTACAATTCTTTTAATACATTTTTCACACTAAGCTTATATAAGCATGTTTAGGGCTGCAGAGACTGTGTCTGTAGGGGCTTGGCATGGAAACCAGATGGTCCCTGGTTCAAGTCCCAGAAGGGAACAAGTATGGATAGTGGACAGGTGCCAGTTTGTTTCCTGTTACCAAAACTAAAAGTACTTATAACTGAGGCCCATTTTCAGAATAATATATATTTGATTACTTGATTGTGAAGAAGTATTAAGATCAGTGGCGGCTGGTGGAAAATATTTTAGGTGGGGCTGTGGAAATGGTGACCAAACAATACTAGGGGGGTTCGGTGGGATGCTGAGAAAAGACCCCTTACATTATGACTTCTGGTGATGTTAGGGGGGGGGGGGGAGGACAAATTGAGGCTTAAAAATATGAGAAGACTGATCAATACCTCCATAATCTTCAGTGTGGTTAGCTATGAATCTTCCAAAACTTCCAAACACCTTGTCCTGGACATAGTTTCTACAGTATAAACTGTGCAACAGTACAGTAGGCCCACACAAACTGTAGAACACCGGGGCTTTGAGAACACTCAAAATTACTTAAAATGATTTAATTCCCATTTAACCTGTTAAGGGGCTTTCCTCCCCCGTTTTTTTCCCTCACGAAACTGTGTCTCAGGGCTTCTTAAAAGGTAATAAACTATTCATGTGTCCTACTCATTTAACGGGAAGAAACTCAGCTAACTGATGATATGAACCATGTTTACCGAAACAAAACACAAGTCTCACAAGAAGCGTCTAAATGAGCCCTGAGCGAAAAAATGCTAACGCACTCTAGGTATAAATCAATCTATATACTTATCGGATATGCACAAACAAGCTTAGCTAACAAGCTGAGATTCCACAGATTCTAGAAATATAAGTATCATCACTGAGCGATCAGAACTCGCGACAGGGGAAGCAAATACAGACATCACACGACGTAGCTTTAATTAGCAAAACACAGAGATATGCTCACCTTTTGCTGTTATTCTGATCAAAAACGAGAAAAACGCGGCTGAAGGTTAATCCATAGGTTAATCCAATGTGTCTGTCACTTTGAAAAAGTATTGATAATGCATAATTCTATTTTTATGTCAAAAACTGAGTTTTCATATTAGCTGCTAATGATAGCTTCCAGAGTGTATGACAGCTTCCTGTTTTGTCTCCTTGGATACGAGTCCAAACAACTCACAGACTGCACCGGGCGCTGACGTAGGCGCCCTGTGACCATCAGATTTGACGACGCTGATTGGCTGAAATTATGTTTCGGCGGCATAGTTTAAAGATAGCAACAGTTGGCTTCTGCTGCACTTGCTGCACTCTCGTCTGGGCGCTGTGCATAGCGCCCAGACGAGAGAGGGTAATGATACACGGGCAAGGCCAGGCAGGAAACATGTGACTTATCAGTAACTTTAGACATCGTAACACCATTTTGAACGAGATTTTATTGTAGATTATACATTTTACTGATATCAATTATATAATATTTACCTTGTTTATTAAAAAAAAAAATATATATATATTTCTTAAATATATATTTTTTAAATATATATTTTTTTATTTTTTTAATGTGGGAAGAGGGGGAACGGCGCCCCTAGCGCCCCTATGGGCCGGCCGCCACTGATTAAGATCCTTTATTACATGGCTTAGTTGAATACTCGATTCTGATTGGTCAATTCAGAACACGTGACACGTTGTTAATCCAGTACAGACAGACCGCTGTCAAGCATTTATTGACCGTTGTTAAGGACGCTGACATCTGCAGAAAGAAGTCCGGTTGATTGAACTGTATACAGTTTGGCCGAAAAGCAAACTGCATGCAGTTTGCTTTTCGGGACTGGGACAAGAAAACAGCGGAGAAGTAACGGGGCAGAAACCCTCCTTCTTACGCAACGGTCCAGAGATAGACATCAAACGGCAAAACATATTCAGTTGCCAGTTACTTTGGCATTAGGGCAGGGATATCTAAATACTTTCCAAGGTTTGACATAATGAATTGTGCTACTTTTGAAGCAAGCAACGATGTTTTCAAATCTGTAATCAAAAAGGTCCGCAAAAACGCTATCGAAGAGAACACCGTTCAGGTGTTCTTTTCCCCATAATGACCGCCTCACTGCACATTATCCCTTACTTACTTAAAGTAGCAATACATGAATGTATAAATACTCCATTACAAGTACATTTCCAACATTCCTAAGTAAAGGTACAGAAGTATTATCAAGAGTATAACATATAAAAGTACAAATGCAGAAACATTTCCTCCATATGTGATTTATTATTAAATATGACATTATTTTTCATATTGTAGCATCAGGTAGTATTTTACTGTCTCAGACAAACACAATTTGTATACATAAATTATTGATTATAGGAACTTTTTATTATATAAATTGTATAATTGGTTTATCCCCCTTAAACAGTCAATGCATTGGTTTGATTTGAAAGTGTGAATGTTTTTTAATGCAACATCTTAATCTGAAAAATCACTAAATCTTGATAAATAATAAATAAATTAGTAAATGTAGTGGAGTAAGAGTATAGAGTAGCATATTGTGAAAATACTCAAGTAAAGTACAAGTTCCTCAAATATTTACTTAAGTACAGTACTTGAGTAAATGTACTTTCTTTCCACCACTGGTTGTCGCATCAGTAAGACACATGAAATGTTCTGTTGTCTATAAATCGCACAGATATCTTTTACTCAACATCTTTTGAAAAGGTATATCTGACACCGGTTTCTATTTGGGTTAAGATTTTATATTAAAATCATAGTGAAAATGTACTCATAAAATACAATGCATTGATTTAAACAGTGGTTCCCAACCTGTTGGCTTGTGACCTCTTACAAAATACTGTTCCCTTTGTCACACTTTCTATGAGCTGTAAACTGTTCTAATTGAATCAGGGTCTTCCCACAAGCCCCAGTGTGTGTGTGTGTGTGTGTGTGTGTGTGTGTGTGTGTGTGTGTGTGTGTGTGTGTGTGTGTGTGTGTGTGTGTGTGTGTGTGTGTGTGTGTGTGTGTGTGTGTGTGTGTGTGTGTGTGTGTGTGTGTGTGTGCGCGTGCGTGCGTGTGTGGATGTTGCTTGGTGACACAGATGTTTTGTTACACTCTCTGCAGGACTCTCCTCTGAAGGCGGTGCAGATGCTGTGGGTGAATCTCATCATGGACACCTTTGCTTCTCTGGCTCTGGCCACTGAGCCCCCCACTGAGGACCTGTTGCTACGGAAACCCTACGGTCGGAACAACCCACTCATCTCACTGACCATGATGAAGAACATCCTGGGCCATGGAGTGTACCAGCTGATCATCATCTTCACCCTGCTGTTCATAGGTACACACACACACACACACACACACACACACACACACACACACACACACACACACACACACACACACACACACACACACACACACACACAGGAAGGAATACAATTTAATCTACTATTAAAACAGCCAGAAATAACCAGCTCTATCATTAGATGATATCAAATATATATAAAAAAATGAAATCAATAATTATTGATTTAAAAATAGTATGAAATATGAAACTGTGGGCATGGACATGTATTTATATACATACACACATGGAAACCTACCGTCTAAGTTTGCAGTTAAAATACCGTAGTATTTGCTTTCTGCCCTCCCACCTCCACTCATTTGGTTTGATTTCATTAATGGTCTGTATGAATATTGAATAAGTAGAATTAAAAACAATATATGCTAATAACCAAGAATCCAGGACAAGAAAAACAAAGCTTTGGTGTAGACATGTTATGTTACAGTGGTAATGGGTTATTTTTCCAGCAGCCTATCCAACATACTTCCTAGTGTACAACACAGCTTTCTCACTTCCTGCTTCCTCCACCAGGCGAGCACATTTTTAACATCGACAGCGGCCGCAACGCCCCGCTCCACTCCCCGCCCTCTGAGCACTACACCATCATCTTCAACACCTTCGTCCTCATGCAACTCTTCAACGAGATCAACGCTCGCAAGATCCACGGAGAGAGAAACGTCTTTGACGGCATATTTGCCAACCCCATCTTCTGCACCATCGTTCTGGGAACCTTTGCCGTGCAGGTAAGGGTTATCGCCCTTTGATGTTTCCATACTGTTTGCTGGAGAATATTGTAAGAGGTTTGTTTATGAATTGAAGTGATACAGTATGAGGCTGTGGGTTGTGATATGTTGTTGTAAAGTACAGAACTCCACCTGACTGAGCATCTCTAGCACTCAGTTAAATCTGACCAGACTTCTTCAGGTGATGACTTTAGGTATGTTGGCCAATTGGTTTGTGGTACTTCCAGGTAGTTTAGATGCACACCAATGAAAAACAAAACATTTTAAAGAAACATGTTCTACCATCTATCAGTTCAGTACATTTATGTCGAAACGGCAATATTGCTTATTGCACTGCCTGTATGATAAATAGTATTCTACTGCATATTGTATCTATGTGGCCACGTTATTAGTTACATTTGAACATTTATTGCAATCCAATACAACAGCTTGCTCTTAGTTTCTATCCTTACAACTTCATAAACATTTTTTAATTAGCACTGTAAGAAAAGATATTCAGTTTGCAGCTAATTCTCAAATAGTATCAATGTCCTTTTCGAAGCAGACCTATACTAGACAAATGCCTGGATTTCTAATTTCCTCTGTTTGATACAGTAGGACTATTAGGTAAGCATAAGTATGAAGCTTGCTTTTTTTCTGATCTGCTCCCATTTCCCCATTTAAAGCGCTGTTACTGCATCACATTGTTATGATCAACTCCATATGCCCTGTGTTTGTTCCAAAGGCATTTCACAATACCTTCATTTCCTAACATGGCTTTGTTTGTGAAAGGATGCAAGAGCATGTGTTGAAAATATCAGTGACAAAATTGCATAATTTCAGCTTTGGTAACAATGGTTTTAGGCTGACGGTACTGTATTTATAAAGCATTGAGAGCTTCAATGGATTCTACAGATAGAGGTTGCATTTCGGTTATGGCCTGTGCTCACCTGGTCACCTTTTTATGTAGTATATTTAGTACAAGGAAGGAAAAGGAATTGGATTATGTTTAGGCCTGACATTGCCTCTCACAATGTAACCGGTTTCACATTTCAAGCTTTAAGAGTCCAACATTACCAACAAAAGGCGAATTGTTTGTTGAATTGACTCACAGAGAATACAGTACAATGCATTAAGCAGGGAATTTTGCATACACAAAAACACAGTCAAGCAAGCAAATCTGAGTTAGTGATAGAGAGAAAAAGGGACATTTTCCAAAGCTCGGTGCTCGTGGTACTCTGGGGAGAAAGAAGAACAGAGAGAGCTGGAGGGGACGGAATGTGATATGTAGTGAAAGAGCAGCAAAGAGACAGTTGAGAGGGATTTGGAAATGTAGAGATGAGAGAGCTGGTGGCAGCTTGAGAGTTGAACGAGGGAGATAAGTAAGGAAGGGATCCCTCCTCCCTGTAGGAAGATATTACGTTACGTGATACACTGTATCATACTCCCAGTGAGATTTATGACTGAGTAGTTTGGTGTCAGGATGATGTGTCACTGATAAACCTTGCCTTTGTTGTAAATGATCATGTTGCTGTTTAAAATACCACGCTTCATCCACTGAGAGGCCGGCAGAGGCAAGCTTACTGTGGTCTCAGATTTAAGGTTTCAACGCTTATAATTCGGAACTGTTTCATAGTAACACATTTACATTTGAATCATAAATACCACGTAGATCCTTTTATTCATATTATTATTAGACATTCAATCATTTCTACTTTTTAACTAATCCTTAAAGCTATCAGAATATATTTAGAAGGAAACTGGCATAGGTATTATAACTCCAGTCCAAAGCTGACATTCATAGCTCAATTTCAACATTTCTAGCAAATTGTATTGCACGGACCACGGTTGCTATGGTTACCTGGGGTATCCCACCATGTGAAGAAACATTGATCTTAACAAACCCTTCCGCTTACATTACAAACAATGCAATGTTTATGCTATGACCACTAGCTTTAGTGGCTAATGTTAGCTAATATAGTAGTAGCTTCGTGCTATTATTATATCTTCTCTTACACTAGTTGCTGCACGTCCAAGCTAGCAGGATATGAACACTCTTAAGCTAAGTCAAAATAGCATGTTTGGTCCTGAAAAACCACAAAAATTCAACTTTTATACTTCAGTTTGGTCAAAATTAAACAAACGTGTTAGCAAGTGAGCTTTAGAATTGTAGGTAATTATTAGGTTACCTTTGGACAGAGCCTGCTAGCTGTTTCCAGTCTTTATGCTCAATTAAGCTAACTCTTCCTGGCTTTTGTTTCAATGTTACAGGCAGACATGACATTTGTATTCATCTTCTCATCCAACTCAGTAAGGAAGTCAATAAGCATATTTACACAAATGGTGATATATTGCTTTAAATGACACTTAAAGGTGGGGTAGGTAATTTTGGAGAAACCAGCTCGAGTGCGCTAGAATTTGAAAATACACAGCCAGAAGAAATCTGCTACTTCCTTACAGAACCAACGCGCCCATGACCAATGAGGGCACGAGATAAGTTTGTGCCCAGATGGAAGGCTGACAGGCAGGTAGGCCATCCAGTTACTTTAGCCGGCTCAGATGATTGGTCGTGCTTTTTACATTTTTTTATGTATTTGTTGTCAAAGCACTTCAGATATTCATTGCTATCGGGATGTTAGGAGCATTCCATGCAATATAACAACAAGTGTATCTCGAGCCGGTTTCTCAAACTTACCTACCCCACCTTTAACTCTTATGAACGTTTTTACAACTAGGCATTCTCAGAAAAACACCAACTTTTAGAACTTTTACAATTTTTACAACAGAAATTGTGCTCTGAACAGCTTTATACATACTGGCCACAATGCTCTCCTCATATGTTATTACATACACGCTCATACATTTCTATGACCTGATGAAAGTCTAATCGTAAGAAGACGGTTTATGATGGTAATAGTCATTAAGGAGGAGCCATACTTCATGAATAACTAAATACAATACTCAACCACAACATGTCAATACACATGTTGGTGTGATCGGATGCAGCAGGGATTACATCACTTTATACTTGAATGGTGACAGATGAGAAGATAGAGGTGTTGACACAACCTGGTTCTGTTTTTCTATTCAAAGACAGTTCCGTTTCCTCCCTCCACAGTGTGTGTGTGTGTGTGTGTGTGTGTGTGTGTGTGTGTGTGTGTGTGTGTGTGTGTGTGTGTGTGTGTGTGTGTGTGTGTGTGTGTGTGTGTGTGTGTGTGTGTGTGTGTGTATATGTGACTGTGTTTGTCCCTTTCTGTGTTTCTGCTGCAGATCGTGATTGTGCAGTGGGGAGGGAAGCCCTTCAGCTGTGCTCCTCTCAACGTGGAGCAGTGGCTCTGGTGTCTGTTCGTGGGGGTCGGGGAGCTCCTCTGGGGGCAGGTAAGCAAACCGTACTGACCTAGTGTAGTCGTACAGGCCTGCTTTACATGGCGTTTCTCTCAGGTGAGGCTAAGGAAACATTTTCCCACCCAAGCCCCTTTTCTTCAGGACAGAACCCCACACATATCTGGCCTTTGTCTTGATTGGGAAAGATTACAAACAGGGTTAATTTCTGGGACAAATTACCATTTTGAATCAGTTTTGATCTGATAGACAATGGGAAAAACATGGCACCCTCTTTTTCCCCACTTTTCTGGTGTAATGCTATGCCCAAGTATGTCTCTGTCCAAGCACGCAGGGCCGGCCCTGACCAATTTGCTGCCCTAGGCAATATTTTAGCTATTTTTATAATTTTTTTCAATAAAAAAATGATGCGCCCCCCATAGGTTGATGCGCCCTTAGCATTCGCCTATACTGCCTACCTACGCCAAGGGCCGGCCCTGCAAGCCCGGCTACAACTTTGCAAAGATTTTGAAAGAGTGACACATTTAAACGTAAGACAAAACGGAATCAGAAGTAACTACTGTCAAATGTTCACTGTTTAATAACACTGTTTTTCAGGCGTGTTTGTGACGTTTACATTGATAAAAAACATTTTAAGCAGGTTTTCCCACATCTGAACAAATCGGTATATACTGTACTCGATACTTTGGTGTAAAAGAACATGGCTTAGATTACACCACTAAACTCAAAATGCTGTGCTTCTTTGTGTTAAATCAATATTGTGTTACCTGATCCATCATCTGTGTAAGATTTAAAAAGAAACCACTGCTGCTCAGTAAAACAACATAGTCTTCTGGTCAAATAAGAATTGAACAAACGTTGCTTTAAGGTGATTGCCACGGTGCCAACGGAGCGGCTGCCATGCCTGAAGGAGGCGGGGATGAACCTGGATCCCGGGGACGACGAAGGGGAGGACATGGCCGATGATGAGGAGGAGATCGACTGTGCTGAAAGAGAGCTGCGCCGTGGACAGATCCTCTGGTTCAGAGGCCTCAACCGCATCCAGACCCAGGTACTGTTCCATCAACACGACCCTAAACCAAACGTCCTGGAATAGAGTCCAGATAAAAGCTCAAACAGCAGCGGTTTTTGGTCCTAACACACAAGCAGTTTGCATAAAGTGAATTGGATACCAGGGCAATGAGGCAGAAGTATGTACATAATGATTTAGGAATATGAATCTGAGTGCTTTATAATGCAATGCTCATTTTGTTATCAGGGGGATATTGTTTTATTCTTAAAAAACTGCCAGTATCATGGTATTTACACACTAATATTAGAGACTTTCAGAGATGCTTTATTTTCTGTAGACAGATATACACTTTAAGTTGAGTTTAAACATTGTATCTGAATTGTCTTACTCTTGGAAAGGCAATCTTTCTCTCATCCTGTCTGATTTGTTCTTCTGACTTGTGCCAAACATAATGATTCCAGTCATTTCTCTCCCACACAGCTAACTTTTCTGTTCTGCTTAAACCTGGTGAAATGGCTTAATCTAACTTGGAAGTGGTGTTTTAGAAACTCATGAGAGAAGATACATCTATAATTAGTTTGTGTGTCGCCACCTGTGTTGCACATGTGTGTGTAAGTGTTTACACTTCGTATACAGGCTAAGTAGACAGGCTGTTGACTTTCTGGATTGCTTTAATTGGTTGATTCTTGCGTTTTGTCAGAATGTCCATTAAAGCATGCAAAGCAGCATCAACATGAGCGCTCTGCTAACAGCCTCCTGAGCACTGTTAGTTCCAGTCAAGAGTCTCTGCTTAAGTGCCTTAGTGGTCAGTTTATCATTGGGAGGGTCTGAGTGTGCAGACAACACGCACACTCAACCTCATCCACCTCACAGTCATCATCTATAATTCTTTTTTTGTATTATCTTGACTATCCTTACAAGAGACTTGAATGACCTCATTACAATTGTTTGAATGCTTGTTTTTCATGAATACAATGTTCACTATAAGAAGATTTGTGTCCTGCTGATGAAATACACATATTAGTTTCTTCACAAATACAAAGTGATTTCATTTAGCTAGAGTTTAAACCTGAGACAAAAGCTTCTTAGTATTTGTAATATCCCCTTAGGTCCTAATAAGTAAGATAAGATAAGATATACTTTATTAATCCCGAATTGGGAAATGTCTTCATTGCAGCAGCATGTAAAACAAGTATTGCACTTTTTTTGGATTCATTTTTATGAATTTTAACAATTAAGCATTGATTTTGAGTAGTAGTTCAAAAATGCTGTCGTAATAAAGGGTCAATTGACAATTGAAGAGCTCGTTGAAAACGAGATGAATCATCTGATTCCAAATAAATACGTAAAACAGCAGTTCAAATTGTTTATTTTAATTTCCTCAACATAGCAGTGCAGAAAGACAGTATAAAACAATGCTCCATTCTCTAAACTAGGAGTGTCCTTTTAGGAGCAGTCTGTCACACCAAATGCCTGAGTGAAATGCTATTCAGCTTATAATCAGAATCAGAATCGGGTTTATTGCCAGGTAGGTTCACACATACGAGGAATTTGACTTGATGTCATGTCAATATTATAAACATTATACAGTGGTGCAGTGATGATGTATTTTTGTTAGCCAACTCAGAAGTTAGCGTCACAAGGGCTCCCACTGTAAAAGCATTGGATGTTCTCATTGGATTTTGGGACATTACAGGAAAATGTCAAACACATGTTGGTGATACTTACACATTTTGTTCAGCGGGATAATCTCCACATAAATACACAACTTTTATGATTTTCAAAGCGTGAATGCAGTAGCAGGTGGTAAAAAGCTAAAATACTAACAGGGCTGAGCATCACCACCGCTAAGCTAAAGGCGGCTAATGTTAGGCGTGATGACGTTTAGTCGTTTATTTAGTCACTTGTTAACAACCAACATTTGTATGACTCAAAGACGCTTCAGACATTGACCAGTGGCGTATTTCCTGACATATTTTCTGTCGTAAAACCAAACATGAAAATCTCTTTAGCTTGTGTAAACAGATATTATTTCCGACATCCAGGGCCGGCCCTTGGCATAGGCAGTATAGGTGAATGCTAAGGGCGCATCAATCAATGGGGGGTGCCAAAAAAAAGAAAAATAAATTTAAATTTAAAAAATATTTTTTTTCTTTATTTCATAACAACACAGTTTCCCGATTTTGGATCAACAAAGTACATCTTATTATCTTATACTAACAGAACTACGCCTATATTGCGTACAACGTCCATAAACTATGGCGCACCCCTCGCCCCAAAATCAAGTTGAACCGCCCCAGCCCCAGTAAAAACCAGAGGTTTATGTGAAATAGTTCTTTTTTTGAAATAATGGTTTTAGTGTGCAATTATAGGTTTTAATTTTGTATTTGTGTTAATTTAAAATAAATCAAACTCCCCAAAAACGTATACAGCTTTTATTAACATTGGAATTTACTGTGTAAGCGACCACGGGGGGGAGAGCTTTAGAGAGCTCTCTCCTGAAAGACTGAGAAGCTCAGCTCAGTGAGGTAAAGGCACACCTTTTTTATGATTATAGTTATAAAAAAATAAGAGAATAGATTTTCATCTATTCTCTTATAGTATAAAATACTATATGACAGTAAAAAAAAGTTGTTATTAATAAACAAGAATATAGTTTAAAAGGGGAGTGATTTGTAAAATATCCATAAAGAAAAATAAAATCTGTTTACAGTTCTGTTTCATCTGGGTGTTGAGAGATGTATCCATAGATCTCTTCATGTTGCTCTCAAAGTGCACCAGATTGATGCTTTTAACTTCAATATAAAACAAATCTTCCCGGGGGAGCATGCCCCCGGACCCCCCAAGAGGAGGTTAGGTCCACCCCCTACTTAAATCATGTTCAAATGGATAGGATACTAAATACATTTGCTCACATCTTGTGTCCATATCTTTCTGTTTTGGTAGGGTGGGGGGGGGGGGGGGGGGGGCGCCAGCTAAAATCTTGCCTAGGGCAGCAAATTGGTCCTGCCAACATCTAACCAAAAGCGTTGATTTCGAGACCAGGGAAGCGGTTGGGCTTACATTTCAAGCTAAGCATGAATTAACAGCTTCCAATCATAAAACTTGATCAGGTCTTTGCGACAGGACACACTGACAGAGACGAACACCACACCCACACACTCAGGCCGGCCCTCACTGAGTGCTGCTGTTTTGTCTCTGTCCTGCAGATGGAGGTAGTGAGCACGTTCAAGCGAAGCGGTTCGTTTCAGGGAGCGGTGAGACGGCGCTCCTCCGTGCTCAGTCAGCTCCACGACGTAAACACTATCTCTACCCCCTCTCACGTAGCTCTCTCCACCGCAACAGCCAATACCAGCCCAGCCCCCGGGAGTGAGTCCGCCGAACGCATGTACACACACACACACACACACACACACACACACACACACACACACACACACACACACACACACACACACACACACACACACCCACACACCTTTACCTGCACTCATACCTGCAGTCCTCTCTCACTCACACTCAGTTCGCAGACACAAACACACACACACTGCTGCACGGCACGTGGACTGCAGTCTTTTTGACTCTATGGTTGTGTTCCCCTCCGGCTCGCTCGCTGCTCGTGTGTGTGCAATGTCTCCTCTTTCCTTTCTCTTATTCTCCCTTCAAACAGCACCCAGTTCTGAGCGGCTTCTGGTCCGATCTGGTTTGGTCCAAAATCCAGTCTTGGTCCCAGCCCAGAGTTTGTTTTGTTGTTGAGTGTTGCTCGGTGCAGGAGGCAGCCTGCTGTTCTCTGGCTGGGGAAAGGTGTCTAAAGGAAATACACTGATGTTCCAAAGAACCAAAATAAGTGAAGTGACTAGGCCTAAAGTTCAGAGAGCAATCGGCTGCTCCTCCTGCTCCGCATGTTATTTTCCTGTCTGTGAATGAGGTCAAGCGTGGTTACCGTGGTTGAAACATCACTAATGTAAAGGAGTTGTTGCAATTCTGTGACTCCTAATTATTCGTAGCAATGATGAGATTCCACTGCCATAGAATTCATACTCATTACCAAATGGCTTTCACATGGCTTCTGAATTCTCTAAACTGTAAACCTTCGAGTATAAAAGCCCCATCACTGCTGTTTCCAAGAATACCGTTCAAAAAGGTTCCTCTATCACTATTGCTTTCTTTCTCCTTCTTTTGCTCCTCTCACTTATGTCCGATTGTTGTCAACTGGTTGTTTCTGTAACAGTATTTCCAGCTCCACACGTTTGGCTACAGATGTCTCCAAAAAGTCCTGATTTTTCTCTCTTGCAGTCTGTTTTTTTCCTCTTTCTTCATCACAGTTCTCTCCTTGTTCTCTAATATTCATAAGATATTACAGGTGTTTGCAGAAATATTCTGTGAAATGTATTCTTATTGTTCTTCACAAGTATAGTTGTTCTTTTGTAGAAGTATTTAGATTTCACCAGATCTAAATACGGGCTCTTGTGTAGCGTACTGATAAGGTTCCTTTAGTAGATTTCTATTCATTTTTTATTTTATTTATCCATCTTACTTTGTCCTTTACCTCATCCCTTTGTGTCATCCTCCCATCTCCTTTCTAGAGTAGCGTCCACCCCTCATGTTTTCTCTTGATTTCTTTGTATGTCAGTTCCGCACGTGTCTGTTTGCAAGTGTGTTTATGTGTGTGCATTTGCTGACATATCCGAGAGCCGTAGTGTGTGTGTGTGTGTGTGTGTGTGTGTGTGTGTGTGTGTGTGTGTGTGTGTGTGTGTGTGTGTGTGTGTGTGTGTGTGTGTGTGTGTGAGTGTGTCTGTGTGTGTGTGTGTGTGGGCACCTGTGCGTGTGTATGATTGTGTGTGTGTGGTTGTGCTGTCTCTTCATTTGATTGTCTCCATCCGTCTTCTCAGTTGCTTCTCCTTACCTTCCTTGCTCCTTCTCGTCCCTCCTTCCATTCCACGCTGCCCCCCTCCATCCCCTGTAGGTGTAGATACAGTGAGGCGCTGCTGCTGCTGCTGCTGACACCACATGTTGATCACCCTACACCCACACAAGAG